CCAGCTCCTCGAACTGCAAAGAAAACCAGCCCAAGAGTTCCTACTTGCTGTCCAGAGGCTCCCTCCTCCAGAAGGTGAGAATGAAGGTTTCTGCATGGCAGATTGGTCCCCTTCCTGCTCTGTCTGGTCACCAGCATTTGGCAGGGGAAGTCCAAGGGGAGTTTGTGGCTAGGAACCTGTTGATGGACGTGTACACACATGGAGGTGATGCTGCAGAAGTGTGTGCACTCTCAGGTACACACACCAGTGCATTTATGTAAATTAATCCACAGTATCACATTACACAAGGTGGACACCTCCTGCAGGACTCTCTACTGTCAGGTATGTTTTAACATCCAGAAGACAAACATGAATTTTTAGATGATGACCTTTTTCCAGACACAGAAGCTTGGATAGCACAGAACTATTAATAGCATGTTTATCCACCCAACTCCAGCAAGGAACTCGGCAACCTCCTTCAGCCCCACCCGCTGATGCTCACATTGATCTGCCCTCCAAGGGAAGCACTGCCCTGGCAACAAACACAGGGAAGGATGGTAAGAACTGCTTGAGGAATTAAAATGTTGAATGAGTGCAATTGTACAAGGTAAGGTGAATTATTTTTCTCCCGTCCATTGTTTAAAGGAGATTGATTTAATTGATAACAAATGCTCACCAACTGGGTTTTAAGGCTCTGCTGTTTTTCTCTCTCTGAATGTCAGCCCATTTGCATTGCTGAAGGACAATATAAGAGTCTCAACAGTAACATTAAGCACAAAAGGCTGGGGAGAAGCAGGACTAAAGCTTGGTAACTATCAACAACAGCAAAAACATCTTCATTAACACATCAGAGCTGTTCTTCATATTTGAGTGAGGTTGCAGGACCTCATATTCTCACTCACAAATGGGAGACAAGTGGTGAGATACATTTCAGATAAGATCAGCACTCTTTTGATCTCCAGAGCAGAGGTTCTCCAGAATTCCTAACAACAGCCACAAATGTGCAGCAGAAGCAGCAGCAAGAACATTAAAGCGATCTTTCAGAATAGCTGTGGTCAACTCACATCTCAGGTGGACTTTTTCCAGCGTTTACTTTCTGAAGGAAAAAACCCCAAGGATCTCCTGGGGTCACTACCATATGTCAGGCAAACCAGTGAAGCAGTCTAATCCAGCAGTGTGTTTTTCTTGTTTTACTGCAGGTAAGCTGAAAGGTTTATAACTCTACAACTGCTGAACACCAGCTGTTTGCCGGGGCTGTCTTACGGATCACTCATCTGGCATCTCTGAAGGGCTCCATTTCCATTCCCCTTTTAGGAGCTACATATAGGAAGAGCTTTTCCTACATACACAGAATTTTTGTTCTTTTCATTCTCCCCATCTCCAATTCAAGCATTGTTCTCCATTTTTGCATTTCATTTCAGTTTTCATTTCCCCCACTCTTGGAGAACATAATTAGATTGCACCCAAGTCCAGCTAGGTCAGGGTGCTGTGTCACTGGTCTCTGGGCTGGGGTGAGGAATGAGTTTTCTGATGGGCCACCTGTAAGGGCACTGACAGGTGGGACTGATTTCCAAGTTTGCCTTGAAAACCTGCCCTGCAGTTCCACTGTCTGAGAAAACACATTATTCTCCTCCACCACTTTTCTGCCCTGAAGCTAACAGAGGTACACCAACATTTGCCAGCAGAGAATCCCACCTGTCTCTGAAAGCAGGAAAGGGAGCAGTTAAAACATTGGGGATCAAATTTCCCAGGATTCATTGCTAGTATTTCACTAGGTGACTTGTGTGCACTTCAACATCTTTTCCCACAGTTGCAACTCCACAGGAGCAGAGTGTTGCTTTGCCAAGCAGACACTGGCAACCAGCACTTCTGGCAGAGCAGGAGTGCATGGAAGCACTTCCTTACCTTGGTGGGGTTGGTGGAATGGCAACTGCTCACAATTCAAGCAGCAGCGTGCAGACTGACAAGATCACTTTTGTTTACTAAACAATTAAACTCATTCACCAGAGATCAAGCAGACCTGCACTGTCATTTGGCACAAAGCTGGAATAGTGGATGAGGCATCACCCACTGAGGCACTGCAGCTTTCCTATCTCCCAGGAGCTCCCAGGCAGCAAGCCGTGTCCTTATCGACTCCATTTCCTTATTAATTCCCTATTGATCTGTTCACTGAGAACTAGGCAGAAATAATATTCTTATCTTCTGTACTCTTGGCTGTGCTGCCATTGGATTATGAAGCCTCCTGAGTAGCTTGGGTTTTCTGTAACCTGGGGAGGATGGATCCACCCACACTCACTGGGAGAGCAGGCACTCAGTGAGGAGTACCTGTGGGAAATCATGAAAGCCTGGTGTGCGAATACCTCAGCTGCTGGTCTGCCTACTCCCTGATATGAAAATTTACAGAGTGGTAATTCATCTTTCCAGGTCAAGCCAGTGGCCAAAAATACCCTGAACCATCAAAATCTGCTCAGGATATTACAGCTGCTACTTCCTTCTCTCTAATTGTGGAGATTAGTCTACAATCAGAGCAGTCTGTGAGGAGCTGGTGTCTGTGAGGATGGGTAAACAGCTTCGACATAACAGCTGTTTTCTGTGATACCTGTGTCTGGTCGGCCACTGTATCCTCCTGAGGCTGCCTGTCCCACACCCAGCAGCTTCTCCACTGCTTCAACACAGCCATCAAATGTGGGCACCCAGCAGAGGCTGCAGGGCCCACACACAACCCCAGGCACCGTAGAAAGGGAAAACACAGACATGACAGAATGTAATTCTCAACAGAAGAACATAGTGCACTTTTTACTTACACTGTTCTACTGCTTATTACAGAGAGCCCAAATAATTTCCCTGTGACAGAGGCAGGAAGGAGTAAATATAAGGAAAATATAAGTGCAGAGATATATGTGACAAGAACAAGAAGTGCAGCTTCCCAGTGATGGAAACTTCCAAGTCCTGGCTGGCACTTTTGGGTCAAAAAGAGAGCTTGCAAGTTGAGTTTCACTTTTCCAAACTGCCAGCTAATGCAGAAACTACTGAAGCAAGTCGAGCACTAGCACCAGTGCCATGAGACACCAAGCACCTAGAGAGGAGCACGGTTGGTTCTGTGGGGCTCCAAGCCCCAACAAGGCTTCAGATGCTCCATAAACAGCACCATCAGCATAAACAGTGCTATGTAATACAGCTGAGAAAATGTCTGCAATCAGTTCTCAAAACAGACTCTTTCGTAACTGAAACACTGTAGAGCAGAAAACAGCATTATAATTACAATACATGGGTGCTGCTGAGCTAGAGAAGATCTTCTGTCTGCAAATCTCATTTCCACAAGCAGAGGCAATGTTGGTAGGAGCAGTTACATTACCCTGTGCACTCCACCACAGGGCTTGGATAATTTCTGTCAGTCTCTCTTCTTTTTAATTTGCAATGAGCTTTTCTGGTAAATTGGAAAAAGTTCAGAGACTAGATACAGGAACAACTGGAGGACTGCAAAACCTTGTAATGCTGAAAAACCCAGCACCTATCAAGCAGCAGGTTAAGGGAGGAGTCGATCACTCTATGGAAAACAGACTTTCAGTAATGAGATCTTCAATGTGGCATTGAAAGGTGTAAACAAATTCAATGACTGGAAGCTGGTGTTAAACAAATCAGTCTAAAAATAAGGGAGGACATTTTCAAGAGCCAATGTAATTAACCTTCAGTACAGTTCACTGATGGTTATGCTGGATTTTCCATTGCTGGAAACTTTAAAAAAATACAAGGTTTTTCTAAATGACTTCCTAAATGCCCAGCATGGCAAAACAGAACAGGATGTTGCTCAAGAAAGCTAAAAATCACCTTCACCCAGGTTCAGTCCCTCCTCAGTGACAATGAACTCCTGTCCTCACAGGTCAGCCTGGGTGGGTTAGGAGCCCTTAGAGAGCTTTTATCATAACCCTGTCAGCTGGCCAAAAGACAAAACATACATGTAATTTCTGGAGCTTTATGTCACATCACATGTCGAGAAAGAACATTCCTTCCACCTCCTGGAATGCCCTGTGGAGCTGAGCTCTGCCCTTGCTGTCCATCAGAGCCACTCTTCACCTTGCCTATCCTTCCCAAACAAGCGTCTGTTCCTGAAAACACGATCTGCGCACTCCATGCTTGCTTTCCCTTGCCACCACGACATCCCCCCAGCCCTTTTCCTTGCATTCATTCCCCAGAGAGGCTTGTCCTTTCCCCTAAGTCCCAAGGACCAGAGGGAAGAGGTTTGGGTAACTGGGGTGACCGGCTTGGTGCACTGAGCATTGCCTGGGGAGCAGCTGAGCTGCATGAACAGCGCTGGCAGGAGCAGCAAGTGGAGGGAGGCTGCTCACAGGGAGTGACCCCATCTGTGTGTGAAGGAAAAGTCCTTCACAGATACCACAGGACATGTCTCCATTACAGCCTAGACCTGGACTTTGATTTACCGTTCATCTACAAGCAAGGCAATTCATCCTGCTGCTTCAGCTTCCCCCTGTACAGAACCTCAGCAATGATATTTGCCCTGTTATGGCACAGGAGCATTTTCAGGATCAATTAGTTTAGCGTTCATGCAAAGCTCTGTGGACAGAAGCCTCAGTACAAGTAGTAAGTACCATTATTGTTACTGCATTTCAGATGGCTACCACACTGACATTTTCCAGGCATGCACCATTAACAATTTACAAAGATAAATGGCCCAGGAACCTGAAAATGCATTTAGGACAACTACCTCCTGCTTACCAGCATACATTCAGCTGCGTAAATGACACCTCATTGCTCAACGTGTAGCTATGGTAACATTTCTATCTCATATACTGAAGTGCACACACACACACACATGGAGCTGGAGGGAAGCCAGGCTACCTCATTTCATGACACACAAATACTTTGCCAGGGAACTTTCCCAGGTTCCTAAAGCCAAGCTGCTCCCAAGGAGCCGGGGATGAGGAGCAGCCAACTTGCCCCATGCCTGTCAGGAAGGAGATGGGTTAACAGCAGGAGCCCCACCAGGCCCCTGAAGGACTTACTTGAGAGCAGTTTTGTAGTGGTAGATTGCTTCAATGTTACGGCCCTGGTCTTTCAGAAAATTGGCATAGTTGTAGTGCACCTTGGCATTGTGGGGCAGGGTCTTCACTCCTGAGCTGTGAAGAGGAACAGAAGCAGGACACTGTCAGCAGCCGACTTACCCCACCTTCCCCTGGGTTCACCTTCTTCTCTCAGTCCCTCCCTTCTCCTGAAAAGCTTGCTCTAATCCGAGCACCTCATCACCTCCTGTGCATTTGTGCCAACAGAGCTCATGTTAGAACTCTGGGCAAGTGCCCCGGGCGGACATAAATGTGTGGCAGCAATTCAACTCATCCTGGTCCCTGTCACTGCAGGCACTTCCAGCAGCAACGCTGCAACACTCCCTGTGGCCAGATGCTGCTGCATTTTAAAATCTGAATTACTAAACTGAAAGACAAAACCTAAATGGTTAATGTTTAGAGAGGAAAAGCACATAGAACTTTCTGCAGCTACCAGAAAAAGGCTATCTTTTCCATGTGCATCAGCCACTAGATGGAATGCATGGATTACTCCAAGTACCAGCACATGTGCACTGCTTAAGGCTGAGCAGAGTATGGCCAGGAGGTGAGGGCTAAAGGGATTCTCACCCTCACGTGGCAAAATAACACTCAAGCATTATAATACATGACTGAGGATGTCTGGCTGCACAGCCATCCCATCCCTCCCCTTTGTCTCCCCTGCCATGGGTAGACTGAACTCTACATTTGGAATTAATAATGAGGGCACAAAGACAAAAGCAAGCATATGCTTATTTGCTTAATTGAGAGCACAGAAAGCAAGGTACACCTTGCTCAGCCACAGGAAATGCTGTTTCAAGGTTAAACAGAGAAAGAAATCACAGGAGCACGTACACCATGGAAACATTTCCCCTGCAAGAATCCAGAGAAGTCAGTACTCCATTTAATGGGGAAATCCTTTCCAGCACATAAATAGGGGCTCTCTGAGGTAATGGGAAATAAGGATGGATGAATCTGTTCATGGTGCTGTTTCTTGCTCTTGCTCTCAGATTCCTGCCAGCTGCTCTCTTTTCTACTCCCAGCAAGTCTAACCCTACTACTTCAGGTAGGAAAAGCAAGGATTAGAAAGTTCCCAAGTCTTGCTGCTATGCCTTGTCTGTCTCTCCTGTTTTAACTTTGGTTAGCATGGAAGTTAATCATATTGAGACAGGGTCAGAGGCAGCCCCTTCTGTGGGGTGCACACCCTCTTGCATGGGAAGAACGCACCCAGAGCTGCAAAAAACCCTTTGAGGGGGATTTCATTGCAGAACAGCACTGAGGAATTGCAGTGGTAAATATGCTATCCTTTTAGTTATCTGCAGCCAGTGGTATCCAGCATCACTAACACCTACTTGTGAGAGCTTCCAAAGCTTCGCCCACAATAGCCTTGCAGAGTTCAGCTCAACACAGCCACGGTTTGCCTACTAAAATTAAAAGTACACCTTGCATTTGGCTTTCTAAATCATCAGGTATTTCCAAATTACTTACTGGGAACACTACAGGAATAAGACATTTTGTGACTAATTGCTGAATTAAATCAGTTAATTGATGCTATTCTTAAGAGAATGATTTTCTATATTAGTTTTCACAAAGATATACTGCACCAGCAGCAAGTAATGTGTGACTGCTATGGCTGTGTTAATTTCCATTGGCCTTGGGAGCTATTAACTGCACACTTACAACCTCTGGGCATTACTGGAATATTAATTCTTATACAGAGAGGATTTCATTACATCAGCATCAGTGTTACAGGCAGAGACATGGCACTCGAAACTGCTGCTCTCTCAGAGCTACGTGCAAGGAGCTGCTCTGCTACAGCCTCTGCTGAAACAGAGCAGACTGAGCTAACAGTGAGGAGTACTTTACATATGCACGAGCACTTCAGTTCTAATGAGATACAGTTTTAACAGCAAGATGTGTATGTTTAAATATTTTAATTCTGGACTGTCTTCCTTTAAGTAGAATTTATCACTAATTCTGCTGGTCCCATTTATTAAAATATCACTAATAAAGCTTCTTGCATCTGTGTGCTTCTGCTGGTGGCAGGGGTGACATAGGAAAGGCAGAAATGGGTTTGGGTTCTTAAGATACTCTCTTCTGCATCACACTGCTCACACTGACCTATTTATTCTCCTCGCACAGGCGGGAAGGAGGAACGTTTCATTTTGCAAATGCACATAGAAATTACTGAGGCTGCTTGGAGCCTCTATGCTGGGGGAGGTAGCAAACACGGCACTGGATGCAGAGGGGAATTTTCAGGAGAGTTCATGCAAACACTCCTGCTAACTGATTCCTGACCAGCTAGAGAACAGTGTCAGAAACAGAGAATGCTGTTTGCTCATTGACAGAGGAAACAATGATGTCCACAGTGAAAGCCAAGAAGGAAAGGGTGGAGTATAAATAACAAAGCAGAACACAATGTTTTTCCATTTCTGCTTCCCACAAGCTCCCAGTCTCTCACAATTTCAATATAATTTTCCAGTGTGCTTTTCCAAACTCTCCCATTTCCCTATTCCCCAGCCTGTCAGACACATGCACTTCTGAAAACCTATGGCACCAATCTGGCTCCAGCCAGAAATGAGCCCACTGACATTGGACGTCACTTCTCCAGAGGATTTCCTTCCCTTCTGATTTCTACGACAGCATTAAGCGATGTAAATGGAAAATAAACAATAGGCAAACCTTTTTATGCAACACTTCCTCCCCAGGGAAAAAAAAAAGCCTATTAGCCATAAATCAGAGAAATTAAATACCATTGGTATTTTCCAACCTCAAACACTAGCATCATCCAAATTCCACTTCAGTTGGGAAAAAAGCCCTGTGATCCCCTCTCTTGTTTTCCCAAGTGTGTGTTCTGCTCTATAAGGTGACTGGGTGCAGGGCTGGGGTTTCATTGATTTTCTGTGATATCCATATGAAAAGTGCACAGTTTAGAAGAATATGAAACCACTCCTGCCTCAGCAGGAACCCTGGGATACCAATGGTGTCTCCTCTGCTTCAGGAATCATTATCATCAACTAAGGTTCTCTACAGCAAATTATTCTCTGGATGACACAAACAACCACCTTCCTTGGCCTCCTATCCTTGTACTGACTTCACAGATAACTGTGCTGGGCCATGTTAAACTGTCCTAGAGAAGATGCCCAAAATGCAATGGGACTTGCTCTCCTCAGCTGAGCCAACTTTTAAGAATTAACAAAATAACACAGCAGTAAATGCCACTTTTGGGGATGGAGCAGTTTTTGCAAATTCTTGCAGTCAGCAGACCTGGCTTGGGAAGGAGAGCTGCTGACTAAGAAAGCATCATTTTTGTACAGTTCCTTTGCTGGTTACAACTGGGTTTCCAGGCACTGTCACAAACGTGGGCAGCACATGCGGACGCTTTCCAGGAGCAACAGGAAACATGGCAGCTTGGCAAGCCTTGGAAAGGTCAGTAGAGCGGATGCAGGGATCAGCCCACAGCTCTCCCCTCCCTCTCCCTGGTTCGGACATTAACGCTGACCACAGTTTGAGTCTGACCTTCTGGCAGGAGCATTCACTCTAGAGGGCAGTTTTTTAAATAATTAACAAGTAAGTCCACCCTGATCACCTGCCAACAGAGTAAGACAAACTGCTTGAGGCTTCTAGAGATGGAATAATATGCCTCAAATATCTCTCTATATATTTGCCCACGTCTTATACGTGTGGTTTATTTGCTTCTCATTTAGTCCTTGCACACATGCTTGTGCATCTATGTGGAGATGCATCATTTCCTCAGACAGCAGCATCCACCCCCACACTGCTGCTTTCAGCCAGGACCTGGCAGGATTTCTGCATCCAGAAAACTTGGTCCCTGGGCTGAAGACTGAGTGGCCACAGTGTCATACAATGCCAAAATGGGGCAAGTTTTGAGAAAGGGACAGAATGGGGTACAAGCACAAAACCAGGAACACACTGAGTATACAAACATCTCTTGGACCAGCATAGAAAAAGCGTATTTAACAGAACAAGCCTCAGACAAGGGAATCAAGACAGATCAATCCTGCAGAAACAAGCAAATGGAGGAACATAAAGTAGAGGTGAAAGAACAAAAAACCGTGAGGAGGGAAGAAGTAGTAATTAATTAAAGCAGCAACTGGAAAAAGAAGAATGAGGAACTAGGATTGTGAGTAAAGATTCTCCCAGCACATACTTCTTAAAAAAAGTTCAACACACACAGAGAATACCAAGTAGGTTGATTTATGTCTCCTTTCCCACATCTATAGATTTGCTCTGTATCCTCCTCCTGTCTTGTCCATTAAAATTTATTGTTGTTTCACATACCTCCATCCACTTCTCCCTCCTCTCCTCATCAGCCTCCTCTTTTTGCCCCAAAGAGGAGATCTCTCACTCCTGTGATAACATTATCTTCTTGCTATATTATTCTTCTTTTGCATTTCCTTCCCATCAACAAGGAGGGTCCTACCACATTACAGACTTGTGAGAGATGTGTAACACCTATCAAAGATGATCTTAAAAGGACAACAAAAGAGGCAAACAAGGGTAAACAGCGCAGCAAAGACAGCTATGAGAAATGAAAACCGTTTTTAAAAAGGAACAGCTACAGAAGGAAAAAGGAAAAGAGAATAAACATCAGCCAGTTAAACATAAACCGTAATTAGGCAGACCAAAAGAGATTTAAAGAAAAACTTGCTAAAGCCATCAAAGCTAATAATGGAACACATCAGATGGAGGAAACCTGCCAAAGATCCCCTAAGGCAAACAGATGATGGAGGTCTAAAAGTAGTGCTTGAAGAAGAAAAGACCACAGCAGAAAAGCTAAATGGATTCTCTGCACCAGTGCTCACTACAGCAAAACTGAAGGAGCTGCCACACAGGAGCCTTTCCTCACAGAGCAAGACAGAAGCACTGCCTCTAACTGAAGTGCCAGTAAAAGAGGTGTTAAAACAAATCAACACCCAGAACAGTTATGAATCCATTGGGCCTGGCAGAATGCATCCAAAGGAAATCAAACATGCAGCTATTAGCTGCAGTAGGTAGCCTATAATTTAAATGAGACTGGCACTAGGGGAATGGAAGTTGATGAACATGACTTCATTCGGCTCCAGGGAAGGGATCTGGAGGGGGAAACAGACCAGAAAGTCTGATTTTCACTTCAGGTAATTTGGGGAAAACCATAATAAATCCTACTTCTAGCATATTTCTGGATAACTACAGTCCAACAAAGAATTAGCCTTGCATATTACAGAAAGCAGTTATTTGGAAAGCTCTGATGGTGTTTTATAGACTCAACAGGTACGTACATGATATTGAAACTATGGAAAGCCTTTATAACTATCCAAATATAGCCCAGTCAATCAAAATCACATACACCAATGTTGAGCACTTAAATGCTCAAAGGTTTTTTTAATAAAATTCCTCACTAAGGATTTTTCAATTCTTAGTGAGGGATTTTATAAAATATTAAATTATAATATATTAGATTATAATATATTAAATTCTGCAATTTCTTCAAGGCACCATGGAGTAAGAGGGGAAGATCCTCTCGTGAATCAATACTTGTTGAAAGACAGCAAGCAAAGAGCATGAATATGTGAACAGTTTTTACAGCTGGAGAAGAGTGCAAGGGTTCCCAGGAGACATGCAATGGTACCTGAGCTCAGGTGCTCACAAAGGATCTTGAAAGGGGAGCCAAGAGGCAGAGGACATGTTTGCTGATGACACCAATGTGAATCACACTGCAAGAATTAACTACACTTTGTTGCAGAAGGATCTCACAATATTGAGGACTGGGAAAAAAGATGGCACAAGAAACACAGTTTCGGTACAGACAGAAGCATCAGAGTGTGTGAACACACACACTCTAAATCTGCATAAATCTGCACACAGATTGATGTCTAAAAACCTGGTATTTCCAGTCACAGTAGGTGTCTTGGAATCTGCGTTGAGAATGTTGTGAAATTATCACTCACTGCTTAGGAGAGGTCATAAAAGGCAAACAGAAGACTGGGAGTTAGTAAGAGAAGAGAACAGGAGCCAGAAAGCAGTCTTTTGTTATTGTGCTGCACATACCTCTTGAAAGGTGATTCTGGTCTCTTTCTCAAAAGGATGGACCAGAGTATGAAAGTATCCAGAGAAGACTGACAAGAGGAATCAGAAATGCAGAACAGCTTCCATGCGAGGGGAGTACAAGACCAGCTGACTTCAGCGTGAAAAGGAGACAACCTTAGGTGAATGTATAGGGGTTCAAGACATGGAAGTGCCTTTATCCTAAGTGACAAGTTGATGGTTACTCACGACTCATTCTGCACACCAGAACGAGGGGACACCAAACAGATAATCAGGCAGAAGACTCACAGCACACAGGGGGAAATCTTAGTGTGCACACTCTGTAATTTAATGACAGAGCCCAACGCACAGGATGCAGTAGAAGCCAAAACTATAAATAGATTTGAAAAAGCAGTCAGAAACATTATGGAAGAAAAGTCCATCAGTGGCTGTTAAAAGCAAAAATAGCAAGTAACTCCTGACTCAGGAAGTCTTTAAACTGCAGATTACTGCAAGCTGGGAAAGAACTGGAGAGAAGCATTATTGTTGCTGGCCCTGTTCTTACAGTGCTTTTTTTCAGCAGCTGCTGCTGATTGCTCTCAGGGGCAGGCCACAATAAGAGGTGACCCAGCAGGAATTTAAGAGTTCTGCCATCCCCTCAAAAGCCTGGGGCAGACTTCTCTCCTGGTACTGTCCCCGAAACTCCTGAGCTGAAGAGGGAAACAGCTCAACCTAAGGCACTGAGCCCTGAGTACTGCCCTGGGCTACCCCAAGTCCCTCCCTGGAGGTAAAGGGGTATTATCTTCAGCTCAGAGCTGCACTGCAGCAGTGGCATGGCCTTGGAACTGCAGCTGGCAGTAAATAGTCACCCTGCTTTGAATGGAGGCTGGAAGGACAGAAGTCCATTTATATCCAACTAAGCAGACATAACCTTATCCCTCTCTTCTGCCACAGACCCCATAGCACTCCACGTTGTCCCTAGAAGGCTCCTTAGCAGAAGAAAATGTCCTCCTGTCACCTGCTACAGTTTGACTTCATCATTCTTAAACTTGGGTGACCACAGCTGTGCACAACACAACAGCATATGATGCCTGCAAGTCTGCAAATGGAATTGGCATATTCCCACCTCCCCTTCAGTAAAAGAGTGGTCCAACTTGGAAATCCTCCTACTTTCCTCCAAGTGGCCAGGTTTGGACTAGAGGTGTGTCCCACGTGGATTCCTGTGTGAGTCCAGACCAGTGACCACGGCTGCTGTTGCTTGAACAGCAAACAGTGTTTGAGAGAGGCACGCAGGAAACTGAGATTGGCTTAGTGGGTCAGGGCGTGGGTTTAATATTAAGTGCCAAGGTTGTGGGTTTGATCCCATCCCTGTATGGGCCATTCACTTTAGAGTTGGAGTTGGTGATACACTCTTGTGGGTCCCCTCCAACTCAGAATATTCCATGAATCATGCAGAGGGAAGAAACCCCAGTTCCAGACTTTTTTAAAAACAGCCCCGCTAAGAGAGTTCCCATCACTTCAGTAGTGCTTCCTGAAGACCAAAGGGTACACATAAAAACCAATTTCATACTTTTAGTGCTGCATAATTTAAACTTTGCTCTGGCCAATAAGTTAGGAAATAAAGCTCAACCCGTGTGCAGATCACCTGTGTTTCTGCAATTACTTCACAATTAGACAACTGCTGAAAGCAGCTGGAGGCAAATGCAATACATTTTCTAGAAAAACACAAAATGAAACAGTCTGTTTCAATGCAAGAAAATACATAAATGAGGTTGTTAACAGAGCTGTTTGGCAAAGAGTAATCAAATAAAATGAAATATGGTACATTAAGTTTGGCACTTTGTGGCATTTTATTTTTGTCATTAGAACATTGCTAAAGAAATTTCAATATATTCAGTAGCGTTACTATGGCATTCTGGAGTGTTCCAAAAAACTTTTGCTATGTCTTTAGAAACTAAAGTGTTACACTATCATTATATCTACAGAATCAAAGTTATTTAAAAATAGCATGTCTTAAAAATGTGATTGTCAGAACCAAAGTTTGTCCATCAGAGTATAAACTGCTGACACTAGTTTTTGCACAGTTATCAGACCAGAGGAAGTAAGTGTTATTTTATGATAATGAAAATGTTAATTAGATCAATGCAACAATAGCACAACTTTTTCTAAAGAAAACTATTCCATGTAACAAACCTACTTTAAACAATATAAAAATGCAAGTATTCTCCTGTGGTCACTCCTACCTGAAAAGGGATTCTCGTGATAGCCAGATTTCATTCTGTTTCACGGTCTTCCAAGAGAAAAGCAGCAGCAGCAAAGCAAAGAGGGCCGGAACAGTAATTCTCCATTTATTTAGCCATGTAGAAAGCTTTTTTAGGCCATGGACAAAAAGGATGCAGTACCCCATACTGGAAAAAAAAAAAAAAAAAAGGAAAGGCAAAATGCAAAATGTACCAAGAATTACATTTCAAGTGTCTGGTTTATATGCAAGACCATCCAGTATTGCATTTATTCTACAGTTACAAGGGGTTTTGGACTAATGATATTTTCTGGGCTAACAAACTTCAATTCAACAGCAGTTTTCCTCAAGTCACTACACAATTTCCAAATTAATCTAAATGATAGACCCGGATGCCAAAAGTACAGTTGCATACATAATACCACCCAGCATAATGGTAGCTTACATCAGCCACAGAAGGCAGCTGCTTTTCTGAACAGCAAGCTAAGAAAGCACCATGTAATAACAGTAATACTGAGCACTACTGGAGCAGTGTAGAAATGACAGGCATTTTAACAGGGGGAAGTCTCTAAACAATCCCAGTGGTGGCTGCTATTAATTCCAGTTTACGAATTGTGAAGCTGAGGCAGGAGAGTGAATGCTATAGTCAATGCTGCCACTGGAGCAGCTGACAGAGACCACCAAAAGGCAGAAGTGCCTGTCTGGGTCTTGCACTTCTGCATCAAGGCCAGCCTATCCTTTCTAGTGCCCAGCCCAGAAGAGCTGAGATGCGCTGGCAGATCTTCTTGCTGCCCTTCCATGAACTGACACACAGTCATCTCCAGTCCCCAGCCCCCAGCACTTCCATGGCTCTCCATGAATAACTGTGGCATTTTCACAAGCCAAATTTAGACAGAAGTCTTACTCCTGAATAAATGTGCATCAATTCAGTAATTATTTATCTTAATTCAAGGGTTAATTCTTCTAATGATGTCCCTCTGAGTTGGAAATGCAGTGCTTTTGGTTGCTGTATTTCATAATCGCTAATTCCACTTGTAATTTTTTACAAGTAATTTACATTTCTAGTGCTTAACAAATGTCATTAGCTTATCTAGAACTCTTCAGGTTACACAGCACCTGATTTAGTGTTAGACTTAAAAACTATCTTAGTCCAGGCAGCTCTCTCTGATGAAATAAGGGAGCAGAAAGCTCTCGAATAACACTTGCAGACAATTCAATAAACTGGGACAAAAGCATAGCCCTTCCCAAACACTGGCACACCTTGAACCTCAGCTGAATCCACACTTAAAAGCAGGCAGGCTGGAGATAGAGATATCATTGCACACTCTGGCCAGAGATTTACAGTCTTTCCTGGTCTGTACAGAGACGTTCAAGCAACTTCCTGGTGAGAATGCTACAAGGTATGAAAAACTGAGAACAAAATTCCCCTGTCAGAGGTGACCTTGCAGGCAAGCACACAATATGGTGAAAGTCAATGTGGAAACCAGAAAAAAGAAAATGTTCCATATTTGAAGAGCTCTATGTGTGCTTCTTGGCATGGTTTCTCTCCCCTCTTGGAGAGCTGGACACATTGTTATTGCCTAGGCTTCCCAAGGATGGAGAAAGACAAGAATTCTTCCTTTCACTGAGGAAAAAACCTGCCTTTTTATACATACTGATTAACACTACTGCATTGTCTCTGGCACAGTACAGGTGCCTTATGGAACACTGAGAGAAGTGGCATATATGTGGCATATATGTGGCATATATGTGGCATATATGTGGCAGATCCAGAAAAAACATCAGATCTGACGATCATTCAGAACTCTCTTCACTGTTGTTTTTAAGTTCTCCCATTTTTTAGAAGTGCTTACCTATATATTTGTCACTCAATTATGCTTGCACTTTGCTGTAACACATTTCTTGTTGTACTTGTGCTGTTTTTCATTAACTCTTTTGCACATATATATTTATTGCACCTACATTAACTGCAAGCAGACCTTAAGAACTATAGAGTTCTATATAGAGATGCTGGTGTCAAACAATCCAGCCTTTACAGTTATTGAACCCTACTTTAAAACCTCTGAAAAGTTATTCTCAGTAATAATCCCTCCCTTTGCAACAAAAAATGCCTCAAAAGTCTGCAGACAGTTTTCACTCTGTTATTTTGCCTTTCCTCAATTTTATCCTTCCCTTGGAAATAATCATCTGAAATAAATACTTTTTAACTGCTTTAGCATAAGGACATTTTCAAAGTAATTTCCCTATGCCTACACATATTCAAGAACAGACCCCTTCTACAGAGTCATGAACGCGTCCAGAAAACAAAAAATGCAAACATCAATGTCTGGGTATTTATTTCAAATCCTGTCTCAGCTGTTGGGAATTTCTCCCTTAGCAGCAGCACTCAGTCTGAGGCACAATCAGCATCACATTCCACCTCCTCCAGATCCCGTGATCTGCTCTAAACAAAACAGTCTGCACCTATGTATTAAAGCATCTGTCAAAAAATGTAATTATATTACTATAGTTTCCTAGTTCCAAAACCACATAATCTGTCATACCTTACTTCACTTGTCTCACACTAGACCCAACAGTCCCAGCACAGAAATTAGCTTTATCACAGAGACCATGAAATTTTGAACCAGTGAAGCACCAAATTTGCAAAGATGGAGCTGCTGCAGCAGCAACCTGCCCTGACAGTCACTGGACCTGGAGAGCCCTCCATCCCACCACAGCTCATCCCTAGATCAAGTTCATCCCACTTCCCTTGATCCCAATCTCTCCAGGCTTCAGAGGAGCCCTTTGAAGCTGCTCTGACTTTTGCCAAGTCAGCAGCAGCCCAAGCAGTGGTACCCTGGTGGAAAAAGCCCGTACAGGTCAGGCTGCACTTGGATGATGAAGGAAACTTGCCAGGTTGCCACTTCCTATGTGGTTAATTCTGCTGTGACCCTGCACTGCCTACAAACACAGAGAACATTTCAAATAGATTTGCTTTTCTTCTCAGAGTGATGGGGGACTTGACTTCATATCAAACCTTACCACTGGCTCGCCAGGAAATCAGGTTTTACTCACACACACAGGAAAAAAAAAAAGAAAATGTCTCAAAAGGACCTTTCATCTATGAAAGACTTGTTTGCCACTTGAAAAATTTACTCTTAAGTACTACATTCCAGACACCTCAGTAGCTAACTGCATATGTATTGAGACTGCAGGGTTTTGGGTTTGGGATTATTTGGTTTCTTAGTTAACTTTAGCATTTCCTAGCAAGGGAACAATTTCTCCTGAAGGGCTTTTCTCTCACCCTTGCCATACAAGCACTTTTCTGAAATACTTTGTAGCAAAACCTAAACAATGGGAAACAAGCAAAATCCCCAAACCACTTAGTTCTAAATCCATTTTCCACTGGATTATTGTAAAACTGCTAAGCTTTTTTTCCTTTTTCTTTTTTTGGGTTTGTTTTTTGTTTTTTTGTTTTGTTTCGTTTTGTTTTTGTAGGATAAGCAACAGTCTGCTACAGCAGTGAGAAGTCCATGCCAGCTTGGTCTCTGGGGTCCTGAGAAACAGCCCACCAAGTTAACATGGTAGTTGATTTCATGTGGGCTCACAATGAGCATGCATTACAGAAGAACCTGTAACTTCAGAAATTCCATGATGCAGCAGAAAAATTCGGCAAATGGACCAACAAGCCAGTGCGTTCATGACTCCTCAAGGTTTCAGACTCCAGCAGAATTAAAGTGGGACCTTAGGCATGCCCCGAATTGCAGCGAGGGCTGAGGGCCAGGCAGCCCAGCAGGGAAACTCCCTGTGCCACTGCCACCATGTGATTCTGGCAGACTGCACAAAGGGAGCTGGGTAATGACACATTTTTGTCCATAATTTCTGTGGTTTGTTAATATTGCTCCACCTGTAAGGAAGCAAAGTGATAGGAGGCACAAGCAGATGGGAATGTGGTGGGATATAGACCTTATTTCCTATGGTCCTCTCTATGCATTGCCCTATTAAAGCTAGAGACACAACAGCATATACTTAATATTTGCAAACACATCTTGGGTAATTAGATTGCAAATTCAACCTTTCCTTTGGCCATTACTGCTCCTTTCCCAAGGTGAGACTGTTACTTATGATGCTTGCACACAGTTCTGCTCTCTATGGATCAGGTTTCTCCCTTTTTAGTAAAAATCAGGAATGCTTTCACTGCATTTGGCTCTTGTGGTGATGACATCTACTCAAAGCCGCATGTGCCACAGCCCAGGATTATCAGGATGCTCTGCTATAGCAAACTGCCTGCATCAGAAACCATTTTACCTCCTTCAGAAATTGCTTGGAGACCTACTGCTGTGGCAAACTCCTGAAGAGCAAGGCATGTTCTAGTCATGCTTTCTACTCCATTTTCCAAGTTGTGACTTTGCACAGTGCACAGTCAGATCAGGCTGAGAGCTGAAGTTCTGAGAGAAACAGCCTGGACACCAGCAGTTGTAGTTCCAGCCTTTTCTAACTCACCCAGGTAGGGCTGCAAAAAGGAATTTTAAAAGGGTGGGAGAAACTATGCAGAAAAGATGCTTTCCTCACACTTTTTGGTAATTTGGTAAAATGGTAATTTTGGTAAAATTTACCATTTGGTAAAATAGTAATGGTGGACATTAAATCTTGTGAACTAGTTGTTTGGGGTTTTTTGAAAACTGATTTAATCTCAACTAAAAAATGTAAACTTGGGAGTAAATCCACTGATTTCATCAAAGTACTTATTCCAGATTTCATAGCTGAGCCGAGATAAGAATTCAGATGCATCCATGCATACATATCAGTTTGGGAAAGAGTTGCCTATAAGCAGCTTGTGGAAACATGGAAGAAACACTGCCATATTCAGGGCCTGCTAATGCAACAAAAGGGATTATATCAGAAGTATACTGAGACCAGAAAATGCACTTGGCTTCAACATTTCACCCAGGAGGCTCTTTCTGGGCTGCAAAACTCCTTATTGATTTCCAGCACTCATTTAGGATGACTCCCTTTCCCTGCATAAAAATCAACCCTTGCTTCCAAGCTGCTCTGAAGCACGTTTAACCCTTGTGTTCATGACTAAAAGCATGCTCTGCTGCTGCCCTTCAGAGAGCAGCGAGCACAGCCTTCAGAAAGACTGTGTCTGCTGCCAGCTACAAACACTGAATACAAACATTCAGATTCTCT